CCCGTGATTACTTATAACTTTATGAAACATGTGTTTCTGGTAATTTTTGTAATGTGAGTCCTAAATAGTGTCAGAGTGCAAAACCTAAATGAATCTCAATGCAGTGAGAGTTGACTCTAGAATTTTAGGGCCTTTGGGAAAGTGGTACCCCCTTGGACTGGAGGAGATAGGCATGCAAATTCAACATTCTCTTGGATATGTTGTACTAACTAAGAATGGCTGCATTACTGAAACTTCTTATTCTTTGTTGATCTTGGGTCCACATCCACAATGAATATCCAATCTTAGTCTATAGCTGGAAAATTTAATGCACCCTATAAGAAATGGGTGATGGGATCAGTGTCAGTGTATAGCCTTTGCGGCACTATTGTAATATCTTATCTAGATTGCTTTCAGAGCCATTAATTATGTGAGTTAATTTTTGGATAAATGAATCTCTTCATTTTGGTTTCTCTTAGTAGTTCATTTTTCCAGGTTTTTTAAATTTTAGATGAAATCTTCACAAAATTGTATGATGACGTATCTATGCATTTCTAATATATGCATTTTTGTTAACCCATTTCCCTGATATGTATATCTGTGCACACTTTAGAGACATAGAAACAGAGCAAGTCAGAAGGGGCCTCCCTGGCCATCCAGTCTGACCTCTGGCACCAGCCAGCTCCATTCACGACATGCCCACCATGTGCATGTCCAGCCTATCTTTGAACCCTCACCGATGGGGCCTCAATGACCTCTCGTCTTCTAGTATACACATTTTGTATGCATCTTTTTTTTCTTTCTTCCTTTGGATTGGAGAACTCATCACAAAATATGGAAAAGAAGAACTATGTTTCGGTTGGCATATTTGCTTGGGAAGTGCAAATTAGGTTTTGATTAAAATCTGAACTAAGCAGCTCTTTTTCCCATCATAGATATTACTCAAATAATCTTTCCATAGCAGTTACAAACTACTAAAGTCATAGGTTAAGTAGTTTTTAATAGCCAAAATAAAAAATAAAAGAGTGCTGTCAAAGTTGACCGTACCATGGAAGCAACAGGACACAAATGAAAATCCAACTGAAAAAGTGGTGTTTGCTTCCCTTGGAAGGAGGTTCTAGAACCTGGTAGTAGCTGTAGGAAGGCCTTCTCTCATATTCCATCAAATTAGCCTCCAGTGGTGGTGTGACAGAGAGAAGGGCCTCTCTCAAGGAGCACCCAAGCACACTTAAAAGATGAATTTATTCTTTCAAATGGTCTGGTTGAAAGTTGTGTAGAGCCTTATAGATCATAGCTAGCACGTTAAATTGTACCCCCGAAAAAGACTTGTAATGGATAAAGCTGTTGTATCAAGAGAGTCACATGCTCACGATAACCAGCCCCAGTTAGTATTCTGGTAATAACCTTCTAGACCAACTGAAATTTCCAAAAACATTTAAAAAGCAGCCTAACATAGAGAATGTTATATTAGTACAAATGAGATGCAACTAAAGTATGTGTTACCATGGCCAGATCTGACAACTTCAGGCATAGGTGTGGTTAGCATACTCATCTGCTTAGTCTTAGGGCACAACTAAAACCTGGGCAATCTGGTTCAATCTGAATTCGGAAGTACATCCAAATTGCAAACCTAAGTCTCCAAAGATGCTGCAGCTCATCCAATCTGGTTGTATCCCTGGCATCTCCAGTTTCAAAAACCCAGTAGCTGCTAAACCAGGCTGACTTGCTCTAAGATAGTTTCCAGTGTCCACTTAATGGTAACAAAATCAGATCCCACTGGTTTTGGTAACTGAAATAGTTTCCAAAATCCCCACTGTTTTTACACAGGGACCTCTACTACCACCTTAGATTTCAGATTATATTTGTATTTCATTGTATGCTAAACAAAGTTGTAAACATTGTATGGTTATTGCAATTATCCAGTAAAAACAATTAGATATTTATAGATATCTTATAAGCATATTGGTAAAGGCCATTGCGCAGTGTCTGCACACGTTTTGCATGCAGTTTATCCTAGTTCACTCTCTGCCATATCAAAGCAGGGCTTGGGAAGACTACCCTGAGGCTCTGTAGAGCCACTGTCAGCCAATGTTCCATGGCTGCTGAACATACCCAGTCCTCATGGTGCTGTTTTCCATGTTTCTCAGATTTCTTTCTCTTCCTTTTCAGTTTAGCAAATTTTGGGGGTTCCCCAGTCATATTGAACTAGAAGAGCCACTAACAAGACCACTAACAAGGCCTCTTCCTGTGTGCTTAAATCAATCTTACATTACAGGGGAATATTATGATGTAAATTCATCTGCAATTAAAATGCTTTTCCCTGCAAAATGCACAGTGACATATGAATGTACTTACCAACCCCATTCCTCAAATATGTAACAAGTTTTATTAGTAATAAGTGGTTCGTAACTGGAATAATGGAATTGCAGTTGTAAAAAAAGAAAGAAAAATTATACTGTCAGTAGAACATTGGCACTTAAACTGTGATTAGTTGGAACTCCTGTGACCCATTATGAAGGCTTTTATTTCGTTCAAAATGGCATGTTTTTTCCTTATAGTACATATTGTGAATTGATAAAAGGTATTGAATTCATAAAGGAATAAAAGCTCTACTATCTTCATCCCATCTCCTCTATTTAACTCTGGTAGCTCACTAGTCAAACAATTAGAAGCTGTAAAATGCATTCATAGTACATGTTCTATTAAAAGAAAAACCTTGCTCAGGCATTATACATATGAAGGACACTCACTTGTTGAAAGTAAGAATAGGGCTGCACTGCTGGCACTGACTTTTGATGTCCATGTGTCTATAAAGGGACCTTTACACATGTATAGGTATGTTGACAAGTACAGCAGACACAACTAGATCAAAGCTAAAAGGACGTGTAGGGACTGACATGCACAGAGGTGAAAGGAAAGTCCAGTACAGCATAACTCGTACCATTGGAAGATGGTATGTGAGAAGTACAAATTAAGAGAAACTGGAAAGTGCAAAAGAAAAAATGGGATAATTAAACATTGCAGTACTTGTTGCTTGAGGGCTAAAGTGGACTGGAATGAATCATTTTCAGTTGAATACAAAGTGTTCAACTTGGAAATGACAAAGTCAGAAGAAATGGAGTAGTTCTAATGTTGAAGCAAGATGAAGTACATGCAGGAAGACGTATAATACAAAGTCTGATCAAAACATATTCATCAGAAAGCCTATCAACATAACTATCATTTAAGACTACACTCCCAACAACAAATGCTGAAGAAGAAATTCAAAACATTCAAGTGTCCAAGTGGAAACTGATAACACACCAAAACAAGGCATGGTTCAGGTGACTGAAATGCAAAAGTAGGAACAAAGTGGAATGAAATAACGTGAGAGAATTTGACCTAGGTGTAAGAAATAAAGCAGGAGAATGCCCCCTAAACACCCATCATCTGTTTATTGCAAATATGTACTTCAAGCTACTGATGAGATGATTGTATACATGGCCATCACCATGAAAATGAAATAGACTACATTTGGAAGCAAGAGACGGGGAAGCTATATTTTTGCTGCCAAAACATGACCAAACCAGACTGTGGTAGAGACCATGCGCTATTAATATCATAAATCAAGGTAAAGCTGAAAAATATCACTAACAGAAGCAAAGTGCCAAAATACAACTTAAATAACACTCCTGAGGAATTAGAAGTCCACCTTAAAAACAAATTAGTTTTTCATTACTGAACTTAATTGGCTGTGAACCAGAAGAACTGTGGACTGAAACTGGGTACATGATTAAAGAAGATTGTCAAAAGATAATTCGTGCAGCAATAAGAAAAATTAAAAAGTCCAGATGGGTGAGGGAAGAAGCACTCGCAATTGCTATGGACTGGTGACATACAAATGTGTAAGGTGACAGAAATAGACCTGGGATCCTGAACGCAACTTTTCAATAACTATCTCAAAGAAATAAACAAAAACTATTAAATGCTCGGTGCAAAGAAATAGAGGAGAACATCAAAAGAGGAAAAAGCAAGAGACCTCTTCCAAAAGGTCAAAGAAATAAAGGAGAAATTCAAACCTGGATTAGGACTGCTGAAAGGCAAACAGGAAAGCATACAAATAAAGAAAAGATGGATAGAAAATATGGAAGAAGAGATGAAAGGATGACAAATTCCTTCAAAGAGTAATCCTATGAAAAATAGTTTGCAGTATTAGAAACTGAAGTGAAAGCTGCTTTGAAATCTCTTGAAACAAATAAAGCACCTTGAATAAATGGGTACCAACAGAATGATTCCAAGCTGCAAAGACTGAATTACTCAAAATCCCAATGGGAATATGTAAACAAATATGGAAAGCAAAACAATAGCCCACAGACTGGAAACTTTCATTCCCAAGAAAGGAGATACTAAGGAGTATAGCTGCTATAGAACCTTTGCACTAATTTCTCATGCAAGCAAAGTGATGCTCACGTTTTTGCTAAAAAGAATGTTACCCTGTACTGGGCAAGAAATACCTGATGTTCAGGCTGTATTTCAAAGCCCTTTCACATTTACCCAACAATCAGGCTCCTGTGGGTAATCTTGTCTACAAAAGGACCTTTCCTCCCATTCATAATACCAGACAGATTCATAACAAGACACGAGAACTCTTAGGCAGCTAATGCCTAAGCCATTTAGGACTTTAAAAATACAACCAACAGCTTAATTTGAGCATGGAAAGTCTAGCAACCACTAGTTAAGAACAGACAAACCATAGTGCTGTTGTTTAGCATGATAACTGAACTTAAAAACCATGGTTATAGCCTCTATACCATAGAAATGGGACTGCTAAGTAGACTGAAAATGAAAGCAGCTCTAAAACATGACTTGTCAACAGTGTCACTTGAAGACTCAAATGTTCAGGCATGATATATGAGAGCATTCTCTGTTAATGTGTTTCATTTAGCTCATTAGAGTTGTGTTGTATAACACCACAGAGAACTATATATATTGCAACAATAATATGTGACTGGAGAACCTTTTGTTTTTTCTTCCACTTGAAGGTGAATCTGCCACTCCTCGGGCCATCCTGACAGGACACGATTATGAGATCACCTGTGCTGCAATTTGTGCTGAGCTTGGCCTGGTGATCAGTGGTTCTAAAGGTATGTTTAGTAACAATTTTTCCTAAAACCTTGCTTGAATTTTTCCCCATTTTAATGCTAAAGATAGTTGTGGCAGTAGCAATATTGTAATTGCATTTATATTCTATCTTTTCCCCTTGTGAGGATATCAGTTGAATTACATAGTTCTTTTCCACTTTTGTTTATCTCAAGAACAAGAACCCTGTGAGTTAGGTTGGTCTGAGAGTCTCTGACTGGCCCAAAGTCACCCAGTGAGCTTCATCTTCATTGAAGATAAATTCTCCCTCCTTCCCCCCCTCAAAGAAACTTTCTTCAGCAATTTTGAAAAGCTAAATACTAAAGAGCAAATATCAAAATTGACATTCTTCAACTTCACCATGATTCTTCTTATCTTTTAGCTAATCATGCCTGACTGTCATAGGAGAGGGAAGGTGCTATTGTACTAATGTGCTGCTTGAAGGTCTCCTGTAGACATCTGCTTGGCCACAGTGGGAAAAGAATGCTGGATTGTTTCCTCTGCTTCCACCATCTCTCTCATTCCTCCACCTTCCCCACCCCTTCTCCACACACACTTCTGTAGTGTAAATTTGGTTCTTTGTGTTTGAGTTTCAGCAGTCATTTTTATAGAGGAAGTCCCCTACATACAAACCTTCAAGTTGCAAACTTTCAAAGATGTGAACATCTTTTCTGTAATAATTGAGAGAGGTGAGTCCAGCAAAGTGTAGCACAGGTTGTACCAACCTAACAGTAATGCCATACGAAGAAGAACCCATCAGATGAACATGGGTGCAATTCCGTACTCTATGTACCTGGAAGTATAACTTCCATTAATCCTTCCGTGAAGTCAACGGGAGTCCTCTAAGTTATAAACCTATTACAGTGCAGTACTATATAGCCAATTGTGTTAGTTGGGTACCTAGGCTAACTTTGTTGGACTTGCAAACACACTCTTGGAACAGAAACCGTTTGTATGTAGGGGACTTCCTGCAATTTCAAATCACCTATGGTGGTAGGTGTGGATAATCTCTTTTCTAACATTCTGTTTTCACTGCACTACCAATTTCTAGGTTGATACCCTTGCAAAATGGTCCCTCACATCAGATGTTTTCAGAATCATACTACACAGACCTTAGCATGTGTAAGCTTGAATGGATAGATGAAATTATATATGGATATAAGTCTAACTTCTCATAGGGAATTACATTTCTTTGGTTTTCTATCTGAACACTCAGCAAGTTCAAGGCAAAAAATTGGTGATGTCTCTGCTGAAACCTGTAGGATGTAGGATTGCATGGAATGGTTCATCCTGTCAAAATGGATAAATTGTCTTGTACATGGAGATACACACATTAGGATTATGTAGTCCAAAGAATAATGTTGCACTTCACAGCTGCGCTAACACCCAATGGGGCTAGCATTTCCTGTGTTAGATTAGGGAGACTCAGCTTCAAATTTCAAATATCTACATAAGCAGGGAACTCAGTGGGAGATTTGCGGCTACTCACATGTATTTTCAGAATTTTTGTGATGATCAGATGATGTAGATACGTTTTATTATATAAACCATCTAGGGAGCTGTGTGGCTACAAGATGGTATATAAAAGTGCTGAATGAATGATTCATTGGGATCTCTGAAAGAAGGGCAGAATAGAAATATAATAAATACCTGGATTTATGTCATTTTAACTGCTTTTATTTAGCAAAATGAGCCCGCTTTCCAATTATAATCACAATGAATCCAGTCCACTTTGCTAGTATCTCCAGACAGAGTTGATGTCTAAAATCTGATGGTTTGCTGCCCCACTTCCTGTCTCTCCCATCAGAAGGACCATGCCTCATACATTCTATGAATGGAGATCTACTGAGGACATTAGATGCTCCTGAAAACTGTCTGAAAGCAAAACTTATCCAGGCATCAAGAGAGGGCCACTGTGTCATATACTATGACAATGGTCACTTCTGTGTGTTCAGTGTAAATGGGAAGCTGCAGGCCACGATGGAAACTGATGACAATATAAGGGTGAGCAGCACAGTCTTATTTTACATTGAAGAAGTGTACTGTTTTATTGTTTACACTTTATCTTAATAACATAAAGTAGAATGAAGGCACAGCATATGTATATGTGAATTTATATAAAATGTATATATGAATTTTCTAAAATATGCACCATGTTGTCTTAGTGTGTATTGTACTATAGATTTGTGTGTGTGCTAAGAATGGACAAGGGCTTTTCAGACATGCATGCCTAACTTTGTTGCAAATTATTAATTATTGAAGGAGTTAACCTTTTGTATGAATTGTAGACTTTATCAGTATATTTAAAGTGAACATGTGTGCTTATTTTTTCTCTGAAAACCTTAGTTATACTAAGATGTAAGGCTCTGAACTAAATAGACAATTACTGGTACCTTGGATTAGTAGATTAGTTAATCAGATGCTTTGGGTGCATTCCTGTGTTCTGCACCCTTGATGAATTTAAACCTATCAACTCAGAGGCTTGTGTGTGTTCTGGGTCCCACCCAGGCACATGTGGAGCATTTTATAAAGGTGGCCATTTTGGATATTGAGATTATGCGCCAGGGCAGGGAAGGCAAGGAGGCTGGGCTGCCAACTGAAATTAGCATAAGGCCTTAGGCCCAGCCTCCTCCCCTCCCCGCCTCTGGACATGCATTCCTCCCCAGTGCGGGCCCATTGTGACGCAAGGAAGAATAGCTAGCATGGCTCTCTCTGTGCCAACTACAGTAGGAGCAAGGTGGGGGCTTGGCCTGAAGAATCCTAGCTCTAAGACCACAAGATCATGAAGCTGAAATTCTAAATAAGCTGATGGCCTCCCATACAATACTAAGGACATAGGATTACACTGTTAATATGAGATTTGGAATACTTGTGTTAGTGATTGGTGTTTCGTTATTGAGTGGCATTGGATTAGGATAGACCTAGGACATTTCCTTCACTTGAAATAAGAAGGGCAAAGTTTTTTTCTGTGAGTCATAATGCCTGTGCATGCAATTATTCTTCCCTTCTTTGACACTTGGAAGAACAAGGCAGGTAATAGATACTTGTCCCTTATTTTGTCCTCTGTATGCTACAGGATACTCAACACAGGAGAGGTGTAAGACCTCCTTTTCCTTATAGTGCCTTGTCCTTGTGTATTCCCAAGCTGGAGAGAGAAAAATAGGATTCTAGTGAGCCATGTGGACATGCAAGATCTATGCCCTTATGTGGAGAGCGAGCATGCAGAAAGGTTATCGGGTAGAAAAGTGCATTTTGCTTTATCTTCTGTGTCTTGCACATATCTACCTATTAAAAGTGATACAAATTCTTTATAATTGCCATACCTTTCATAATTCACATTCAAGTGTTTATGATCTACTTACCATAGTACTTGCTCCCCTAGTACTTAGCTATTTTACTTTCCTTTTCCTATGGTAACAGTGCTGATAATGTGTTGCTTTCTGTTGTGATTATGTTGTCAGCTCGGCCAATAAATCTATAAAATATCTGGCAATCCCTTGATGGCTAAAACAATTTCTGTAGTGTTTGTCATTCTCAAGGTTCAGGGAATGTTGCTTTGTGCAATGGAAATTCTGTTCTCTCTAGACCAGCAGTACACACAACCCATGCTATTATTTTTCCTGAGCAGTCCCAGATGAATTTTAGTCTTAAACAATCCACAGACTTTCCCCCAGAGCTTCTGTACTTTATCATGCTGCAGGGGAAGTGGTAACAGGATGATTAAAACAAGAGTGTTCAAAATGTCTCTCAACATAGGCACTGGAGTCCAACAATTTCATAGTTTGTTGCTGTTAGAAAATAAAATACGGGAGGAAGTAAAAATGTAGTTCCTTGTTCAAATTCTTCCGTATACTTTCCTGTATAACTAAGGGCTTGGCTTGTAGAATGTTGACAAAGTTGAAGCTTTCAGTTGTTAGATTCAGACAGTTTAATCTTCTAATTTACTGTCTTGTACACAAGTACGAAAAAAATGCTACCAAAAGAACTTTTCGGTTGTCTGGATATACTCAGGATCTAATCAACGCTTTCCACCTGTTTTTGTTTTAAATATTGTATTGCTCAGTGGAACTTAGGCTAACAGCATATCACAGCAGATCTGCCTTTCAGTGTTTAGATATCTTAATGAGTAACTTAAATCTAAGTAGGCAGGCAGCCCAGAGAACTAAAGTTATTCTATCCTAAACGAGGCCTGCATGCTATTCCACCCAAAGGAACCAATTTATTTTTCTTTCCTGAGTCTGTTTTGAAAAGTCAAGTATCTAACAGGCTCTTGCTGCTTTATACCAATGCTGTCAGGCTGACAGGTCTGGTTTTTAAGAATAATGGTCTTTCAAGCTTCTGAGGTTTGAGACTCTTCATGGGAGTGTAAGTTGCTTCTGAAGCTTGAGACTTTTCATGGGAATATAAGTTAGAAACAAAAGAATATGTAACATTCCTTAAATTGTAGGCTTTGGTGAACTGTTTGTACATCAGAACTATATACTGAAAGAAGGGTCAGTTATAAGTAGATTACTGCTTAGTAAAATCTGGAATAAGTTTCCTAGTGAGGAAACATCAAAACATTACATTGAATCCTATATTTTCTAGCCCAGTTCCTGAGAGTAAGTGCATCCTTTATCTGCTATATCCTGAGAGTCATGATAGAAAGCTGAAATTTTGACAAACTGCCCCCAAAGCATATGTATCAGTCTATCAATGCTTTTCTTAGCCAAATCTAGATAACTCCAAAAATGCCAGTTAGTAAACTTTAAATCCCATCTTTTATTTAATTAAAAAAAGAAACCCACTGAATTCATTGGCAGTAGAAGAGTTAAAGATTAATGGCTTTAATTTGCCTTTTAATATAGCATTCCTCTGATAAAAAGCCTCCAGTATAACACTCAAGTGAACCATAACCATAAGGTTAATGGATTTTCATCAGATGAATTTTATAACTGTAGCAAATAATTATTTGTCATGGTCCTCGCTGCAATTTCAAAAATACCCTTAGGAGTTTGCCATTTGTGAAATGAGGAAAAAATGGATATTGATTTGGCTTATAATGAATAATCTTTTCAGTAATTGTACTTGGTTTGTTAGATATCATGAGTCCATCATTTTCTTTTAAACGATTTACTGGTTCAGCTTCATCATCTGTCCTCCTGTCTGCATTGTCATCTCTTTGTATATAATGTGCCCAAGACTGATGTACTCACCTTCTAAAACATCTGTGCAGCAAATATACTTTCTTTCTGATATGGAAAACACCTATTTAAGTCTTCTAATAAGAAATCATGACCATTGTAAGATCAAGTTTGGGCTTACTACATGTTAAGGCAAGATTCAGTGTTCGTTAAATGACTGATTTTGACTACCCCATATTTACTGCAGATGGATAAAATGTTAGTAGCCATGGGATAGTCTCTAGCTTTGAGTAGATGCATAATAGTAATTCAAAACCACACTTCTCTACAAAAAGATTGTTACCAGCTTTCTTTCCCTGGGGCTTATAATGTAAAACACACTCTGTGTTTTAACTTTTTGCTTACAGCGGGCAAATGGGTTTGCATAAGCAGGTGCAGTAAATTATGAGTTTGAAACCATTTGATCAAAGAAATTAGCTGAGGTTCTGACTGACAGGAGAAATGAATAATTCTGGGAACATTTGCCCTATGTGGCTTGGTTGCGAATAGTTTTCCATGTCACATGAGACACTGCTGTTTAGAAAAATAAAAATAAAAGCCCATCCTGAGCACATGGGTTGTTTGGATTCTGACCTATGTGTAATAGTACTTCTGACCTTTTAGTACTATTCTCTCTTCAGTATGACTCAGGTAACTTAGAAGACCAAAAAGAAAATGGGAGGGGGGCAAAAGAGGAAGCTATCTAGAAAAAACATGTAATTCAAATGTGTTTCCTTCTTACCTTTAGAGTTGGGCAAGAATCTGCTGCAAATATTCTTGGAATATAAATGGGTCTTCCCATTGGGCAGTGTCGTGCATGAAAACATCACCAGCCATGGCTGGACTTGACTTTAAACAGTGATGTGCATGTTTATGAGGAAGGCTTAAGGTTCCACGGCACTGCACAGGATTTGCTTGCAAAAGACTGTAAAACCAATGGCATTGCTATGCAAGGATTGGAAAGTGTCCCATCTCAAACTCTAGAGAAGCGTTGAAGAACCTGTGGTCTTCTAAATGATGTTGGATTCTAATTCCTATTAGTTCCAGCCATCATGAGCAATTGTCAGGCGTCTTGGAAGTTAGAATTCAGTAAATGGAAGCCACAGGTTCTTCATCTGTGCCCTATAGCAGGAGTTCCCAAACTGTGTTTTATGGAACCCTAGGGTTCTGCAAAAGCCTTGTAGAGGTACCATGAAAACTCTCAAAAATCGAATTTAAAATGCATTTTAAAATGAAACCAACACAGGCAAGCAGCACACAAGGAAATGCATCACATCATTTGGTTCCTAGGACTCTATTGCATAGTGTTGGAAATAACTGAAGGAATTCATTTGGGATATTACCCTATAATTACTTTATTCATTATATTTAAAATGTTTTCTCTGTATTTCCTACTATGTTATGCAGATTACTCAGGCAATAGGAGCAGATGAAAGAAGGAAGAATATTGTGGGTTCACAATGCCTAGTAAAAATCAGGGATAGAGTTCAGATTCTGTGGGGAAAAAATTCTTCAGCAAGTTTTTATGAACAAAAATGTTTGGGAACCACTGCCCTAAAGAACTGTTGCCTATCAGTCTAGTGCAGGATGGTGTACCTTTTTTGGTTGAGGGTTGCAAGCCAGAGGTGAACTTAACCAGAGCTAAGAAGTAGTAGGACACCCCCCCCCCCCGCTCTTTCACATCCTTTATTTTCTGACACCTCCCTCATTCCATCTTTTTCTTGCTCTTGCTCCCTGCTAAATGAGGTGCCAGAGGAAGGACAGAAGGCTCTTGCCCAAAGTGTGGTTGCAGTACGTTTTTGCAGTACGTTTTTGCAATTAGGATGAGGCTGTTGCACTCATAATTCTGTGCTCGAAGGACCAATTGTCTGATTTGGTGTAAAACAGCTTCCTATGTTTGCCAGATGTGAACAGGCACAAAGAATTAATATTTTTAATATGCTGGTTTCCTGTCTGATGTACAAATAATTCTGTAGCAGCTATGTGGATTTAAATCTGGATAGTGAAAGGTATCTTGATTGAAGCTTAGAATATTTCATAATAAATGGTGTTATGTGCTTATAAACTGTGAAACAGCATAGTCCAGTAGTTAGAAATCCAGTAATGTTTTATTTCTATACCACCCAATAGCTAAAGTTCCCTTGGCAGTTCACAACTATTTTTCAAAGTACAATACAGATTTCATGGTTTTCTTGTTTGTATTTAGCAGAGGAACAACTGGTAAGGTAAAATGTGAAAAGTAGTAAATTCTTCATGTGGACATTCATTATATTTCTTATTCTGGACTACATATTGCTTAGCTTGCTGATACTCCCCCTACAATGGAAATCACTCAGAGAGGATATTTGTGTTGAAAAATAGTGTTGGCAGGCCATCCAATGTGCATTGCTTAATGCAGCTTCTCTTAGGATTCAGCTATTTTTTTCTGATGAATTGCATTTGGTATTTAGCTTTTGCTTCTTTGAGACAAAAGCCTTAATAGTACACATACACAAAACTGGCTTATTCTCTAAGGGTGGGACATTAGTACTAAAATGTCAGGGATGATATAACTTAGAAAAATCCTGTGGGAGTATAGCCATAAAATAGTATAGATATGCAATGCTTCTGTCTTCATGCAGCTGGATATGAGGCTGCCAAAGTCCCATCACAGACTGAAGCAACCATGCTGTGTACTGTGTAAAGAGTAATAAGAGTAATACTCTGATAAGAGTGCAGCTGTTTCCCATAAGGCTACCTGTGCAGAGTGGCACTGAACCTCTGCTTTGAAGAAGTCTTTGTGCATATTGATTATTAAAGAGAACGATGATTGCCATGTAGCAGTTGGATTGTCATTGGCTAAACATTTGGTTTTGCAAAGAAATCTATTAAAAGATTAGCAACGATAGCAGATATATCAGTCTGTATTTCCCATCAGTATTCTGGAGAAGAGTGACAGGTTGAATCCAAGAATGAGTGAAGAAAGTATGTACTGTTGCTGCCTATGAACCTGGTTCATTAGAAAATATATATTTAAAGCATTAATAAAATTTAATAGTTGTAACTGACACTTTGTGTTTTACCCAACCTTCTTCCTTCCACCCCTTTATCCCTCTCATTGCATTCATGTTTATCCCATGCTTATACTAAAAGAAATGGAAATGATAAGAAAGGGAGTAAATCACTGAATGGTAAAAGTTGCTATTTTAATAGAGGTCACAACTTAATGTTTCTTAATGTTTTCATCAGGCAATTCAGCTGAGCCGGGATGGTCAGTACCTCCTTACAGGAGGAGACAATGGAGTTGTTATGGTGTGGCAAGTTTGTGACCTCAAGCAGCTTTTTGCTTATCCTGGCTGTGATGCTGGAATTCGATCCATGGCACTTTCATATGACCAAAGGTGAGGATTGACCAGTTTGGTGTCATTAACTATTAGTTCCATTTTTTGTTGGCTTCATTCAGTGCTGATAAACTAGTTGATGACAGTAGCAATGAAAAAGTACCACCAGAAAGGTTCAGTTCTTAGAGGACTGAACTCTGCCATGTCGTTGCCAAATTGAAAATATTACTTTAGGACATTCTTTTATATGGCAAGAATAGATAAGTTGGGGGAGCCACACAACAGGGCCTTCTCTGTAACAGTACCTCGCTTATGGAGCCTCCACCTTAAGAAGGCTAGATTGGTATACAATCTTTGCCTAGGTATACCATAAATTATGTTTTGCTTTGGGTGGCTTTAAATAAATAAAGGCATTGAAATACCTTGGCTATTGTACAATTGACTTTTGCTGTTTTTAATTTTATTGTTCTGAGATTTTTTATTTTTCTGAGATCATTTTGTTTCTGAAAGCCATAGATTGCCTTCGACAACAGTTTTGGTAGAAAAGACAGTTCATAAATGTTCATAAACAAACTGGACATAGTTTAAATAATTTAAACTGCCATCATTTTCCTTAAACCAATCCCAAAGTGGTTTATGCTTTTCACATCTTTGGTGTATCCTCCCATTCATGCAAACAGTGTCGATTACCAGATAAACTCTGTTTTCCATTCATAATTGTTGGGATACACAATATCTGTATTATGTATCTGTAATTACTATGTAGCTTAATACTGGTGAAGTATGTGCTTGTATGTTACCTCAACATTATTGTACTGCAGCCTTTTCTCTGAATTTTCTTTTCCCTTTTCTTCTTCAAAGGTGCATAATGACCGGCATGGCTTCTGGTAGCATAGTGCTTTTCTACAATGATTTCAACAGGTGGCATCATGAATACCAAACCAGATACTGATGTTGGAACTAAGCTGCTTAGTATATGCAGAACTCTCAGACGAAGACTAACAAGTCTCTCTTCAGTATCTTACCAGAGCCTCAGTTCTTATAAATAGTTAATATAACATCTGAATGTAACTTAAAATTGCCGGGAGATGCTATTTTTTAAAGTTAATTGCTATTTTTGTAGACCTTGCTTGACTTTGGGATGGGGGGGGAGGAAGAAGCAGAAAATGGCTGCTGGGGTTCTGTAGCTTAAAAAGAAATCTATATTTTTAGTCATAGTAAGTCTATTTTGATCCATGTATGGGAAGAGACGTAAATAAGATGGCTAAAATTCTTGTACTAGCTATATTATGAAACATGTCTCTCATGCAAATCTTTATAATCTTGGGGAATATTTGATTTTAACAATGGAAATTGGTTATAATGCCAGTTGTTGATTATAATACTGGCATTTTAAACTGAGCTTACCCATACCACACTTTGTCTTGTACCTTTACAATGATTGTACTATTTCAAGCACTGAATTTCTGAGAATCAAGAATATAAATTAAGATAAATGTAGTTTTGTTTCCATCAGTGTAATGATCAAGCATGCTTCTAAGTCTAGATTATTAGTTTGTGGATTATTTTTCTGTTTGTTTTGTTGTGTTGCTGATGAAGAAATCAACAGCAGAGTTCTCTTAAATGCAAGTCTGTATTCCTACCAACTTCCTGTCCTTGTTTCAGTGCATACTCAAATGTGCATTGTTCCTCAAAACCAAGCTTATTTTTTTAAGATTTTGGATGCATCCTTCCATTAGCAACTTCTGTATATTTTTTAAATCATGTGCAGATTCAAAGAGCCCCTTCTATTATTTCCCTAAAAATAACTTGGCTGGAGCCAGACAATTATTACAATTCTGCTTCCAAATGGTGTAGAGGCAAAAGCTTCTATTTCTATTCTAACCCAACTTGTGAGAGCTGTATAATGCAAGCCTTTGCGCCCTGTACTGTTTAGGAAAACAGCATGTGTTTGCATCAGGTTTTGGTACAATCATGACAAAAACAGAGAATTAACACCCTCTCTTCCAGCTGTTAGGATTTTAAATTTATACGAAGGAACAATGTTATTTTGCTGTTGCATAAATTCTACTTTTTCTACGAGATTGCTGTGCAGAATTCTGTGAAAATATTTGTGACAGGAATTGTATTGTTTTGTAGGTCTGTATTGCACAAATAACTACTTTGTATGTTGTGCTTTATTAAGATTTGAAACTTACATTCCATATCTATATTGGTATATAATTTTCTTCAACTGCTTACTTGAAGCAGTTTCCATTGTTGCTTTTTTCCTAGCATTCAACTACTCTCTTTAAGTAAAGATCTGAAAGGGGAAAACTCAGTTTGAAATAAGAAATTAAATAAAAAGACATTTGTAATTAAATGTATCATTCATTGCAGTGACATTTCATCTTGCTGATATAAGCCAAAGACTCTGCTATTCTTTGAAAGACATAGACTTTATGACAGCATTGTATCTCTTAAAACCTGTAATTCCCTTTTGACTTTCGTATGGAACGCATCCACTGCTGTAGGTACCTGGGTGTTTGTTGTTTATCACAACAGTTGCAGTAGTCCAGCTTTAATGCCCATGCAATTGATGGCAGAATAACTTCAAATGTAGATAATTTTTTCACTCATTTTCAGTGTTTCTATGGCTCAGGGATAGTCTATGAAACTTAACTTAATTTGTAAGTTACTTAAATATCATGTTATGGCACATTGCAAGGCTATTTAAAAAAAAACCATTACGCATTCAAGTTTTAGATAAAGAGATTCTGCTGGTCTGAATTAAAATGTTGGAAAAGCGGAGGAGAAGACAATGCATTTTTCCCGTTGGTGCATGCTTCTGAAGCTAAAGATGTGGCCAAAGCACTTGGTAGGATACAATGAATAAAGTTCAATTCTCTTTCTCCCTGCTCCTACATAGGAAAAAAACCCAGGTAGTATCTAGTGAAGGCAGTACGAAGCAGGTTTTATGTTTCTATGCTTACATACAGCATACCAATTATCTATTAGCCCAAAATAAATTTTAATACCAAACTTAATGACCCTTGTTAATGCAGGGAATGGGCAACAGATGGTTGCCAAATATTATACTGTGACTAGGCCCATAACCGCAACCATTGACCATAGTGTCTGGGGTTGACCTATGGCGGAGTCCAAAATTATCTGCAGGGCCACAAGTTGCCCACACCTATGGTAAAAGGCTATGGCTGGGTTCGTATGCAAGACAACCCACACAAGTTACAACATGGGTTCTTGTTGAACAATATTGTTGTATTATGTAAACCAAGGTGCATTAACAATCCCATGGTTTGTTAGCCAAGACCAACTCAGAGTTCAGAATCCAACAACAAACCAGGTATTTGCTTCATGACTTGTTTTTGGTTTAGCAAGTAAGTTGCTTATCATGGCTGAGTTCACACAACTTAATAACCCACAGGTCAATGACAATTCACACATAAGTCTTACGCAAGAGTTAGAGTTGGCATATTACACAAAACCAGCCAATGAAAATTCTCCTGTACTTTTTCATTTTAAAGCAAACCAAAGCAATAGACCAGCTTTGGTGTGAGCTGCCTTTTAATTTCTAAAATCAATGCCAGACTTCCATAATTGTCACAGTACTATGGAACAGAGGGGGCATAAAATCTCCATGTGCCAAAGATTAAAGACTTCAAACATCTGAGTGAAAGAAAAAAAAGTTTCACTAAATGTTATTACAAAGTGCTCTATGATGCTTAACATTGAAACCAGAAAATACTAGCAATGAGCTAATATACAATAAGGTTCTTCTGCCTAGGTCAGTGGATGCAGTTAACCCGCACTAACTACTACTGTTGATTACTCCAGTATCAATACAAACCTAAACTACAGAAGCATTGGTCTTACATCTAATGTATTTACTGATCTTGCTTATGTTGATTGAAAACTGATTACATATAGCTTAAGATGCAGTGGTATGACAGCCAGATTTGCTTATATTTGACAAGAGTTTAACAAGCAGCAGCCTAAGTTCTTCAAGAACTATCCTAGTATGAGCCATTCCAGTTGCTGTCCAGTTATATGCTACAATAATGCTTAGATAATTTTATGGGGACCAGTGATGTAAATGCAAAACTTTATTGTGGCAATAGATGGGTAAAAGCACTTAGCAGTAGGTGTCAGATCATCTCCAGTGGGAAATAATCATCCTCATCACTAGCAAGCAGGTTATAGGAAAGCCCCTGAGCCTGTGACATAAACTTGGTAGAAAATAGTCAGATTTTGTCTAAGGTAATTTCCTGAGTTTGCTAATTATTAATAATAATAATAATGATAATCTTAGAATGTATCCTTTGGAAAAGGCTGTTTGGCCTATTACAGTTGCCATAGAGATACCACTGAAGACTGCAGCATCACAACTGGATCTTCATCAAAATTCTTTAATAATTCTATATTAATTTGCTTGGGGAAAAAGTATCACAAGATTACTCTCACCTTCACCACGGCTATCAGACATGTGGCCAGTAACAGCAGAAATCTTACCCCTCCAGCAGTCTACATCAGGGGGAATCCAAAGATGCATATCTAAGAAAAACTAAAATGCATGAGAAAAGGTGTTCACGCTGAAGTTCAGGAGATAAGACATCAGACATATACTGCTCACTGAAATCTGTTCAATATTATTGAGTACAAACTTCTGGAGTCCCATTTCTATACTAGCCTTGTTGAAACAGAAGTTGTGAAGAATCAATTCAATTATGATGGACAGAGAATTGTAGAGGCTGTTAGAAAGAACCACCAGTGTACAGAAGACTCAGTTTTTTCTTACTGCGATCAAATACAGATTGTCCACTTTGAAAACAGAATTGGCATGTAGAACAAAAGGAAATAAAGATTACCATTCATATTGGATTGGCTTTCTATGTTCTTATAAAGTACCACTCACTCTTCTTTTCAAGAAGAATGTTTATTGCAGGTCTTATAGGTCTAAAGTAAAGTAAAGGCTAATAGAAAATGATTCAGAACTGTTAAAAAGAAGCAAAGGGAAATAAGCTGAGTACATACGTTAATGAAACAAGCATTAAGGTAAGATACAACTCCATCTACGCTTAACTTTCAGTTTAACTGCTCCTCCAAATATTTCAGTGCTTTCTGAAGTCAGAGTGGGCAAATGAATAAAGAAAGTGGTAAAAGCATTCTGTGCTGGTGACCAGTAGTTTATTATTTCACTTAGCTCGCTCTAAATATACTGCTCCATTTTAGTAAAGCAACATGCAGCAAGCTTTCTATTCCAGACATTTTTTTGTAATCATTATTGACAGGAAACCGTGCAGAGCAACTATTACTGAAAAAGCTTGATTGCCCATAGTCCCCCTAAATGGGGAGGGAAACAGTTGCCCCATGACTGTGTTACTTCTGTATTCAATTTGATAAAGTTCATGTTACCTAAACTTCAATTTCAAATCAAAACTTTTAGTAAGACCCCCCTCCTCCCCACCCTTCCATACATTCACTCTAACACCACTTGCTTTTCAATATTGTACAGATTGTCCACAGGGACTGGCCTTGCCTCCAGAGTAAATCCAGAACTGAACTCTAAAGTTGCATAAAATAATTAGAGCTTCCCAGTTTCCTTCTCTGGAACACATATTTTTAAGCCCAACATTCGCTGGGTGAGGCCTCTTAATAGTTCTTCCTATTTAAATTTTATATATCAAGATATGAATATCAGCAGAGAAGTTGCATTCATTCTCATTCCAATGTTGTTTGAAATCATATTCAACACTAAATTCTTAAAAAGTATTTCCAAACAGAATGGGCAATGTACTAAAAGCTACTGCATGTAATACCTGCAGCTTTTTCAAACCATTGTGAACAAACTACAGTAATGAGGGCTAGAGAATGGTAGTGGATAGATTCCTGACCTAGCAGTGGACTTGAGCAGAACTTGTCTTAAATGACTCCTGCAGTAGCATCATGACATGCTGAAATTGGGTGTGGAGAGAGTTTGATTGGCTCAGAAGCAGCAGGGAAGAACGTTTTGAGATCAGCTGTAGGAGGTTCATGAGCTGCAGCACTGATCCCGGTGGCTTGGTTCACAGCAGCTTGATCAGGGTCCTGACAGCGCCTGTTGCAGAAGATCTGTCTTTCTTTATCTAAAGCTGTGTTCTGCAATGCAAGTTTTGAAATATCACAAAACTAGCTCCTCTTCTCACATGTAAAAGCATACAATGAAACATCATTTGATGCATGCATTTGTCTGAGGGAAAGGAGAAGTAACACTAGAGGTCTTTGCCAAATCTGTGGTTGCTGTTGATGGTTTTGGAGACTAGCTTTTCCCATGCATAGCCCCAGAGCATTACTAACAAGAACTGCATTAAAAGCATGCTAGTGTAATACCAATGAGATCAGTTTTTAATGAATTGCTTAAAACAAAAAGGTTCACTTGCAAGTCTGGTGAGGAAAAAGCACACGTGTGGTTGCAATAATAAATGAAAGAATGAATAAATAAAACAAGTATGGGCAAAACGTACACCTTACTGACCCAGCTTTAGTGGCATACAATTGTTGCTCTTGGTGTGGGTTTGCAACATGATACACCCAGCTAGTTCAGCAGGACTCAGTTTAGCACTGTAGTGCAAACAGGGCTGTGAATCCAGATGTCCATCCAGTCCTACATTAGCAACGTACAGCAGGGCTCAAACCAAGTTTAGGTGCATGCAACTGGGCTGGCAGAAGCAAACTGGACCATTCTTTTCCCATGGGAGTCCTATAGTCCCCTGAAAATGGCCCACAAACAGCAGGTAAATGGAGTAGGCTGTGGTGAGAAAGAATGGAAAATCAGGCAGAAACACCTTCTATTAATGAACTTCCCCTCATAGAACATGCCTCTACTCAGTATTATTGTGGGGGAGACAATAAAAGTAGCAAAGTTTTTAATGCGATGTCTAACTCCAGTTGAGAAACTGAATATGCATATGTGTGCAGAAAAACCACACTATTTTTTTGGTTGGTATTGCACATAAGAGCACTTGTGTGTACATACAGCCATGCCTGATCAACATCTTTTTACTTTTCAGCTGTCAGAGTGAGCATGGAGCTTTGCCCCAGTCCGGGGGCAGCTGTCTGATCCTAGGCCTAGTCATCAGAAGCCAGGTACCTGCAGCTCAGTTCTCTCAGGCCTTCACTGACTGATAAGCAATGAGCAGGCTCGGTAGAGGACACTGAACCTAACTAGGGACTATGACATTTGACAAAGGCCCCTGCGCCATGACCAGGGACATCACCCATGGGAGTAAGGCAACAGTAGGCAGGCTCTGCAGGAGAAGGTGCTGGGGGGGGGGAGGGTCATGTGGTGCATCAGCAACTATAGAGGGCTGGCCAGTACGTGAGCATGCCTAGCTGGTCTATAGCTAACTGCTGGAAACCACAATAAGAGAGCTAAGGTCTTGCTGGCTAAAAGTGCTGCCTGATCGGAGTCAAATGATTATGCCTTCACGTTTTTATTGCAAACTTTGCTACATGGCCTTAGCACCCACTGTAAGCAGCTTATATAAAGTTATGGTTTCTGTAGGATTACCAAACTGGTTTTATACTTCATTCTAGCTGCTTGCATAAAAACATACATTTTGGAAAAAAGTTTACATTAGTGAAATTGAAGCAATGTATATGTGGTAGAAAGAAACATGAGGGGCTTAATAACCTGACCACTAAACACCTAATGCTTAATAATGATACAGCAACTTTGAAAGCATCTAAACTTACTTGCAAACACTGGCATATCTGGTAGACGAGAATGTAATTTTCCTGAAATTAAACTGCCAGAGAAGTAACAATGTGTGCCTATGACGTTGTTTCTAATGCTGTCAACTGTATGTGCATTGTGGAGTTGTGAATAGCATGTAAGGTGGTTATCAGACTCTAACATAGCTACTTTCTAATGTAACACAATGTTACTGAGTAACTCGCTCAGTAACTCTGAGTGAGTTACTCAGAGCCCTTCGTGGCTATGGGGTTTGGAATACAAAAGCCAATAATAAATAAATAACAGTAAAACTTATCAGAGGCTTCAGAAGTGGGAGTGACACTTACTTCATTACTCACAACTAAAGTAACTCTGGTCGCAATCGTAACTAGCTTATGAAGAAAGTGAAGATGAATTTTTCCCATGAAAAATTAGAGTATCAGAGATAGCAGTTTCCCCCACTAAAAAATTGGGAGAGCACTGCAAACCCATCATCTTACACCACATACTTATACCTGCCCTGGGTAGTTGTTCAGAAAACTTTAACTTTGTTGAATGTACAAAACTGCACCAGCGGAACACAGGTAAGTGAATGTGTGGTCCAAAAACAGCTGCTTTAGAGAAATTCACACCCATATGGCTATGCTGGTAGCGACAGTGCAAACAGAGGAACATAAATCTGTTGTAAGATGATCCCACAAATACCACTTGTTAGAGCCACTCCTCCTCTGTGCAAAGAAGCCACAGGCCCATAATTTATGCTACATTTTTAGAGGAATCTGCACCCAAATACACGGGACATGAAATCTCATGCATGGCTGAAATGGTACAAATGGTGCAAACATAGAAATACAATGAAAACATGTAGTGTGCCTCTTCTGGATAACTTGACAGACATCCCCACCTGAGACTGCTATTATATTACTTCTCCCTTTTTTCAGACTAAAAAAAAAAAAAAAAAAAAATTTAATGTGGCAAAAAGCACTGTAATTAGTACATACCATTGCCTTGGACCTACTCAGAAGAAAGCAATGCAGGCATTGGGAAAGGAAGCAAAAGAAGAAAGCAAGGGACAGACACTAGACTTACTTGAAGCAGAACCAATAGCATTGCAACATTTATAAATGCAAACAACCCCATTCTGGGATTAAAAAGCAGCACCAAAACTACTTGAATGAATGACAATGCAATATCTGGGCTGGGAAGTTTAAATCATAAGAGGAAAACATATTTTTCTTTTCTTTTTGCAGTTCTATTCTTCTACCACATGAGGGCCTTCTCTGCCTAACCACAAAAGTCCAAGGACAAAAATGTTTTGTGCTAAACTGAAGATAGCTTGGAATAAGACATTAATGTGAATGGTGCTGGAAACAAGAAATGGATGCTAACTGAACAAATGTGATCATTATTTTTATTGTCTTGCATATTACATGCCCTTTGCCTAAACATTTCTTTTTCAATTGTCCTGAAAATATACTAGGTTTAGTAACAATAAGGAAATTAAAAACAAGCACGAAAATAAAGGAAATACATTCAGAGATGTTCTTTTGTCTCTGTTACTCCCTGTTTTATTCTTTCTTATGCAAGCATCCAAAAATGGCCACTTTACACTTTTCAAGACATGGCAAAGCATAATGGAACCTAATGCTAAAGAGCCAGTAGCCAGGTATTAAGGACATCTCTGCACATTAGCAGGAAGCCCAAAAGAGGAAGTGTGTGTGAATCATACTTACACATCTACAGTTTGATGAGATGAGGGAATTTATGCATTCCTCCCCCATCTCCCAGCTGGACAAAATGAGCAAATTGTCCCTTGGTTAGGAATATATACATCTCATCACAAGGAAGACACATAAATTCCTCTTTCACATTACCATGGAAACAGAGCAGCTTACCTTCATTTCCTATAACATGGAACCCTACCTGAGAGTCTATGGCATGGCATTTAGTTTAAGAGAAGGTAGGTCTTTTAAAAAATCTTTGCAATTTGATTGGTGGTTTCCTGATAAAATTACCCTGTTTTTTTGCTACCCATATAAATTAATGCAGCAACTGACTATCATCAAAAGTTTTCAAGTTCTGATTACTAAACAGCATGTCCAATACTTGTTTACATGAAAGTTCCACCAAGGTCACTAAAAAGTAGCTTGTAGTTCAGTGCAACTTAGCAAGCAATCTTAAATCATCAGGGCAAAAGTTATGGTGGAAAAACATGGGAATTAAAATAACTAGAATATGGGATGTGCTTCATTGGTTAGAAGCCAAACCATCAGGCCAGAGAATTAGAAAATTATATACCAGTAAGAAGCCAGAAGCTGCATTATATTGAAGATTGGAGCCAAGCTTAAAGGACGTGCATATTTGCGAGCAGTTAAGTTAGAATTCAAAACCACTCTGTTTAATAATGTATTTTATACCAGGTTTCTGCTTCAGGTTTATCCATAGTCTCAGAAATACAAATATTGAATTCTGAGGTCTCTCAGACTGTCAAGTCAAACTGTCAAATGAAATGCAAACAACAGCATCAGCCTAAAAAAAAAATGTTGTATTTCATACTAAAAACACTATGCTACTTTTTAAAGCCATCACACATTTGTTTATATACATATCCATAAGAAATAACATATTAGAAGAACACAATTCTTTCTGTATTTTTCTTCAACTTAAAATGACTTTGGCTGAACTGTTGACATGGCAATGCCTTGCTGAGCATTAGTGAAGCAACGCAAACAAAAACTGACTGCTAACACAGATAGCATCTTTAAGAACTTCATTGCCAAAAGGCTTTATTTTATGAGGCAAACATGCTTTTTAGCATAGGTGTAAGAATTAAAAGTCCTGTGTGACTATGCTGAACGGTTTCAGACAACTTACACAGTAAAGAACTGCTTATTCAGATGATATTACACAATTTAAAAACAGGAAATCTCAACATGAAAAACAGTTTGGCAACTCCTTTCAAAGAACTGTTCTTAAAAATGCAACCAACACACGGGGAAATGAGACACATCCACACATGTGCACTGCTATTTTTCAATGGAAGAATTTTACAAATGCCATTCCAAAAGGAAGAAGAGGCTGAAAAATAGTAGATTAGTAAAAATATTAATGGAAATATGCACTTGCTTACCATGATGACAGAAACCCCAGCGGTTGGGTTATTCTGTTTGGGTAGCGTGTTGTTAAAGTGCTGCTTTAATTTACCTGTTACTTCAGCTTGCATATTATTCTCCTGGGAGGCATCATCCTTTGGATGGAAGGAAGGAAGGAAGGAAGGAAGGAAGGAAGGAAGGAAGGAAGGACAGAAGGCAAAGAAAAAAGAAATAGCATATTCAACCTTTTAGCTATGCAATGCAGCACATTTTTGTTGAAGTGGGCTGAGAAGTTAGCTTGTACACAACACCTACAAAATGAGTTGTTTACCATGTTGTTTACATCAAAGTAGAATCTCAGGGCATGATTCAGCTATAGCAAAGCATGTTTAAATTTTGTTAGCTGCAATGGAAGAGATGTGCAGTTTTTAATACTACCAATTTCAGTGCAATAAAACACATGCATAACTTCAGCTGGATCAAGTCCTGTGTTATGAAGATTTTGGATTTAAAATTTAAGATTTAAAATGTAACAACGTAACAACGTCATGCAGTGAATTAGACAATTTGGGTCAGATTCAGGAGCTGCCTTCTCCTTCTCCATTCCTGCACCACAGCTCATCCCACTCAGCAAAGGTTCATGACTCCTATGGAGCATTTTCTGCAGTCTCTAGGGACTGCTATGGGGAGAAGGAGGAGAGGAATATGCTTCTTTAGGTCCAGCTGCATATGCTTGAATTTGGATATCTTTTTTTGCAGCATACTTAACTGCTCACATGAAAGATGAAAAAACAAAGTATATATATAATTAATTTCTTTCCCAGACACCTATACCTCTTTTCACTGATTCATTACATCAAGTAACTTTATGTTATCCTCTCTACACCCATTTGGTAGGACCAGATTCAAGACACTTATTTCTGTTTTCTCTTCCACTGGGTTGGAGACACTCTCTGGACTGACCATGATGACTATTATCTGTGCTAAGTTAACCAAGTCACCTTACAGTAAAAAGCATATGCACAAAACTAAAATTTGGTAACCATCACAATACTGATGACATGTGTAAAAAAGGTACCTATAGCCACTATTTCTGTAGACAGTAACTACAACTTGTACAACTTTCCTATGTACAAACATTAAAAATGTTAGATGAGATTACACAGGTGGTTTAAGAGCTACATAAAGTTGGGATATTTGTTGGATCCCTCAAATTATTTTTCAGCTACAGATGAACACATGGTAACCCTTGGAATAGATTTTATTTAGGTATAAGCAGAAGAATTTTACTCACCGAAACCCAGGGGTGGTTTAGAATCTGAGCTGCTGTATATCGTGCTTCCACATTTACTTGTAACATCAGACTAATTAACTCCTAAAGAATAAAAAAGAATTATGATGTATACCTTCTAGACTTTGAGCTTACGTTTTCTCAATCAGTAATCTCTCAAGGATCCCTTATTAATCTTTTGAGATTATCAATAAATATACATGCTAATGATTTTTTTCTTTATTCTTCATAATTATTCTTGGCCATTCATTTTCATATAACTACTAAGGGTAGTATGTCTCAAATTCATCTTCCTTCCTTTTAAAAACATACTCCTGGAACACTCCCAAATTTTCCATCTTATTTCCCCATAGTCTTTATCATAGACATAAAGCCATTGGGGACATGGGCTGACGTGTCTTTAACATGCTGATGGCACCTATCTCTATTTCTCTTCATCATCTGAGATAAGTAAGACTGCACAGGTGCTTTAGCAGGCTGTATAAGATTCAATAACAAAAAGCTAAGCATGGGTGATCTGCACCTGTGGGAATTAGGTGTGCAGTCTGCTGTAGATGGAGCTGTACCCCCTTTGAAGGAGCAGGTTCATTGCTTGATTTAGGTGGCCTCAGTTGCTTGGAGTGCCTTTTTGCAGGATGCTGGCTCATGTTCTAGTCTGAATAGTCTGGCCACAGTGAGTCATGCACTAGTAATTTGGACTACTTTCATGCATTATATATGAAGATGACTCAGAATTTCAGTTAGTGGGGATTGCAGCTGCCAGAATTTTAACTGGTATAGCCAAACATTACACCAGTTCTGAAAAGCACAAATCCAGGTGCTTTTAAAATCCCCAACAAAGCTCTTCTTGTATCAGGTTCAGCCTGAGTCCTAAGATCATCCAGGAAGGTTCTTTTCCAAACACCAAGGACAATTTGTGGCAGCAAGTGAGAAGGTCTTTTCTGCTGAGGAATTTTGATTATGTCCTCACATAGAGGTCCCCCCCACATAGAAGTGTAACAGATGCAAATGATGCAGTTATTTTGCTGCCACCCCAAACACTCAAACAACTTAACTTTAAATTGTTTATATGTTTTATCTTTGCTTGGTTATGCTACTGGCTTTAGTAGGATTCACAATGAAGAAAAGCAGTTTAAAAATATTTTAATAAAAAGTATAGATGAAGGAAGGAAGGAAGGAAGGAAGGAAGGAAGGAAGGAAGGAAGGAAGGAAGGAATCCATCTATCTCTCTTGGCCACCTAAGCACAAGAAAGGTGAATTGTTTTGCTTCGTACTGTTATAATCTGTTGCTAACTGCAAATAAAAATCCTAAAGTAGGACCGTTACAAATCTACTCCTTTTGTTCCCATAGCAAATATTGCTTCCTTTTTCATGAATAACAAACTAAACAATGCATCAGAAACAGTGACTAATGGTGAGAGAGTGAATTTTAAGCATTCATAACTATATACTAATGCTGAACACGGTTTATCATACTAGATAAGAAATTCAAAGAATGTGTATGAAGATTAGGCACTTTGGGTTCAATATTTTCCCAACAATGGTCCTGGTGTCCCATGCTTTCTACAACCGCTTATAGTAGCAGAGTTAGTGTGGCTTTATGAAAAATGTTTTCATGTTTACAGCCTGAATAACAGCAATTCTTTCCAGTACCTTAGCAGAGTCAGTGATGTTATCCCAGTAGGGAGAAGGAAATTCAAGCTTTCCAACCAGGATCTGATCAAAGAGATCTTCTTGGACATTGTTCTCACTGTGGATCAAGAGCAAACAGAAGAAAGGTGATTCTAAAACTAATTTGTAAATAGTAATGATTATGAAGACAGAACTATTTTATTAGCTATACAGCAGTGTATCCCAGTTTGAGTAAGGGCATAACTAAAGAAAAATGTGTCTAGCTGATTTCTGTGGAAGAACTTTAACGCTGCATACTTATATCTCTATTACTGACCACAGAGAGTAAAACATAGTAATACACATGGCTCTAAGGTGATGGCACAATGTTCCACAAACTTATGGCAATTGAAACATTTCTGCTTGAATGGATAAGTATAATGAATACAGGGCGGAAATACTGCATCTGCCCCAAACAATATGAAGCTGGCTGTGTGAAAAAAAAGCCTCTCTTCATAGTGCAAGAAAGAAACATCTAAAACAGATTAGCAATCTGTTGCTATCTTGAAGGAATAAGTTTTTATTTGTAACACTTTAGTTGCTACTTCTTGGATACTTATATTTTAAGTAAGTTTCTTTGCTCATCAGGACTGATGAAGTCTAATCTCCATGCTCTACAGGACATAAGGAAACCTTTTTGGCTTACCTAAATCAACGCACTATGCAAGATGGAGTGTGGGAAGCTGTCTGACATGGAAGCCATAACTTTTTGAGGCATCAATTTGCAGAAGAACAAATTCTTTGCACTTCTGAAGTTTTGTGTCTGATGCATTCTGAATTGGCTGAAGTGATTCAACCAGTGTGACATGAAATTGGGCATTTAAGGCATTATGTTCTAAGATCATGCACTGGTTATAATTTCAAGACATGCTAGTCCAAATCCTAACACTAGGAGGCAAACTCTGCATGCGTAATACAGTGTTTGTTTGTGCGTGCGTGCGTGTGTGTGAGAGACTCTCAAGGACAAAAGAATAAGGATGCAACTAGTTTCTTGCTTAGATGTCTGCCTGCCTCCCTGCCATTGAAAAACTGCATTATCTGCCCATTTCTGCCTATAAGTAATCGTTCTCTTTTTTTCTGAATATACTGATGCCAGATAAAGGCATCAGAAATACCTGATCCTGTGGAGAAAGTATGGAGATATTTAGCAGCCTAAAAGCACAAAATTTGTATTGCACTATAATTAATTGGTGTGCAAGAAGTAACAAACCAATCTTTACTTATTGTTTCTACTGTTATTTGAGATTACTTACCTACGAAATGGTGGAAACCCACATAACAATATGTACGTAATGACACCTGCAGCCCAAATGTCCACCTTTAAGCCATAGCTGTTAAAAAAGGAGAAAACGAGGAGAAGAGAAGAGAACAGAGGAACAGTGTGGTGTGGTACACAGGGGAGTGCTTCAATATATTTCATCTTTCAGATACTTCACACAGATAGTACAAGTTTTGTCAAGTGAAGGTTTACTAGTCATATCCATTCAATAGTTATATCTTTTTAACCTATAATTTTAATAGGTCAACAACAGCAGGGGTTTCTGGTAAATTTTTATATTGCTTGCTTTCCTTGTAGAAGCTATAGAAATTTATACTGAAATGTTCATAGTTGGTAGCATAATTTTTATATGGAATATAGTAACATGTCTATTTATTTAAACTTTTATATGCCATCACCACATGCCTCGGCATCTCGGGACAGCTTACAAACGTCTATTATTTGTGCCTCTTAGATTCTCAAAGTCACTGTATACTATATCTTATGACATGTGATCAAACAAGTATGGTTTGGTTCAGAGGAGATGCTAAATCATGATTTGCTGTTGTACGGAGGAGCCCCTTGCCACCTCACTTTCTCTCACATTTTGCTTGAGTAGTAACTTTCAGGTTTTCAGCAAACCACAGCTTGCCATCTGAACCAACAGATCTATTTTTTGTGTGAGCCTTAGCAACCAGCTTCACAAGAATATAACATCTGAATCTACATAAACACAGTTGTATTATCCAAGACTTAAAATAAATCAAACTGATTTCAAGAGGCACAACTTAAAATTGTTCTTCAAAAACACACAATTACCTGTACCAAACACACACACACAAAACCATTTAATAAAGTATTCTCACCCTGTCTCTGCAATGATTTCTGGAGCCACATAAGTCGGTGTGCCACAGACTGTATAGAGAGGTCCTTCAACTACAGTGGCTAGTCCAAAGTCTCCTAGCTTCAAGGACTTCGTCCCATCTGGATACTCACAGACCTGGGGAGAGGGGGAGAGTCAATGAGGACCATACTATAGACTGAAACACTGTTCTTCAATTTAAGTAGCTTGATTCTGAAGACCTGCTTTGGCTGCCATAGGAGAAACAGTGGTTCATCCCACAGCAGCAGAAAGAAGGGCCCTGACTTGAAAACTGGTAGAGCCATCAGCATAAAGTGTCCATCTGCACAGATAAGAGATAAATGCATTCCTTTGTGTATTCTAGAATCTACAGTCTGAAAGAGCATGAACACAAAGGGATGAGAGAGACATAAGCCCTATTCATGCTTTTGGATGAATGCACAAGGATTTAAAGAGGAGAGGGAGTGCATGAGTAACATTTGCCCTCAACATCTCTGTGAGTGTTCCACCTTTAACCTTTGTGGATTTAATGAGAGCCCAAACATATTCAGTCAAACACTTAAAATCCTCCCTATGATACGGAACCCTGATACTGCCGGTTCCTGATCACCAGGAGGGAACACAGGATCCCCCTTCAGAGCGTTATGCATACAGAGTCAGTGTGCCTGGAGTCCTGGGACCAAGGCTTATAAGTAGGCCCTACGTACCTCCATACAGCTGCCAAATGCATGAGAGGGGATATAGAGAACAAGCTATACCAGTCCGTTTCCTTCAGTGCCTTCTTCTGATCATGGTCTGCCATGCTGACAGTTAACTATAAAAGCCAACTATTTGCTTCTCTATCAAGACTGCATGTGAAGAACTCAGTTGAGCCAAATGTGTGGGAAAGCCTACAGAAATCGGCTGCTCACTTAAGCATGTAAATATGCATTAACCATAGATTACAAAATGGGTGAGTGAAAACCAAATGAAAAGGTGGGGCTTTTTTGAATCAACAGCTGGAAGGCAGAATATAGTCAGTGGGTCTTATTTATCTTTCAACTAGATACAAAATGCTTTTGATATTTTAATTTAAAGGTAAAAATATAGTCATGCACACACAGTTTCTATCTGCATTTCATAGATCAATTAAATCTCTAAAATACTAAGGGCTCTCAGTTGTTCAATATGGCTTCTACCCCAAAGGCTTTCATAACATACAGCTATACTTTTAATAGCTCTTCTGAAATCACAAACAACCAAACCACCATTCTAAATTAATTGGAACATCACAAAAAAATCTTCCTAGTTCAGTGTATCACCTAAAAGATTATTGAAACTGGTCCCTTAAGACATGGCAACATAGGAAGGATTCTTGATTTTTGTACATTTTTCAAAATTCTGGCAGTTGGAAAGGAATGGGAGAAACACACAGTTCTAATGATATTATTTTCAAAACTGAGAAGAAGAAATTTCTGTAAGGCTAAGGCTACTGATGTACTATATAAAAGCAAAGCCAATGAAAAAATTGGTCCAAGAGAACTTGGTACACCTAGTATATAGACTTCAGTCAATGCATTAATAAAAGCCAAACGATTGGTTTTATGTGAACATCACCAACTCCAACCCACAAAGCAGTGGTTAGCTCCATGGTGTGTATGAGGTAGGAGAAGACACACTCACTCTGAAGCTAGCAGCTTGTGTCTGAGGTCAGGCTGGAGATAGCAGTATTGTCTGAACTCAAGGAAATGACTGGCAAAAGCAAACAAGCATCCCCATATGCATTCCCAGACAAGTTTATTTGTCACTATACCACCATCAATGTGCACAGTGCAAAAATGCATTGTTTCAGTTGCACATACTTAAGTTTAATTACAATTGGTTATGGAATCTAGTGGGTTGTGCCAACAAGCTTCACAAATATGGGTTTTGAAGATGAATTTGAAGAAAGTGGGAGAATTAGGTGGCATTGCACAGGTGAAGAATTTCCAGTTTGTATAATGTTTGCATATGAAGAATGGCTTTGCTCATGGTGGCACCGCAATGGAATGTTCTCCCCAGAGAGGTCAATGAGTCTTGGACCTTCTTTGCTTTATGAAATTATGTATTTTTTATTTAACTAGAAGAGATTATGGGTGCTTTGCTATAAAACTATTTTAACTGCATTAATGATGATTGTTGCTCTTCATCTTTATTTATGTATTTACCATTATCATTTCTATACCACCACATAATTTATTAAAAACATTCATGGCATAGATTTGCTCTTTATGCCTGAGTCATTCTAACATATTTTATTATTATTGATGTCTTTAATTCTTTATCATTATTAGAGCCAATTAATAGCAGAAGGACATTTTGAAACAGCAACAACAAATCATGCAATATATTGTGGTAGCTCACAGCCCTTAACAGAAGCTCTCATGAGTCCTGAAAAGAATACCTGCTACACATCCTTTTTGTACATAGCACTGTGGAACTGTTAACAAGAATGCAAACCAGACAAGTGGCTGGCTTTATATCCAACAACTAAACGTATTTCTGAGATAAGGAACCATTTACATTGAGAACCATTGTATCATTTCAACATGCAATTCAATGCCAGTCATGGCATCTGTCAAGTAATCTCTTTAGGCTTTCTAATGGAAAAGTGCATCTGTGCCTATTTATACCTGATTTGATTACTAATGAGAGCTTAAAGTGTCAGATTAGCCTGAGCACTTCAACTCACTTAAGTTCCTGATGTCACTGTTATTATTTGAAAGCAGACAGGATCAACCAAACTGAGTCCTAGCCTGCCACAACAACTGAGTGCATGGCTCTTGCTTGCTGGAAGTTCCACTTAGTGAAATAACAAGCATCAATGCTGCAATTGGAAATTTCTTTCATGGTGCAGCACAAGAACCCTTTTTTGGACTATGGATATTACTAGATGATATATTATGTCCATAAACCAGGAGTGCACAGTTATTAGCAGGCCAAGAAGAAAATGGTAGGTGCCAACCTTCCACCCAAGACTCTTCTTTGGGAAAAGCCAGGTACTGAATCCTTTTCTGGTTCTGCCAAACAGTCCCCAGCCTTCTTCCCAACTCGAGTTTCACAGGGGATAGAAACTGCCATGCAACTGCCTAGAATTTAGGAGGAAGGTTCACCTCTAGCCACAATTGCTGGCACGTAGTTCCATGCCATACTATCCATGGTGAGAGGGACAACCAGCTTTAGTAAAGCAACCACAACATTTTTAGCTGTTTTGTCACTTTCAATAAAGAGAATTTCAAGAAAACAAGTGCAAGTAGCAGCATGCCATACAGTAGCATTTAAACCATATCGCTTAGTTTGCATTTATGACTTCAGGTACTATGCAAACAATGCACTTTTAAAAAATTAAATATACATATATTAGAACTATTGTTTGATCAAGGTTTTTTCTGTTTGTTAAATGTACCTATTTCAGATATGAGAAGCTCAATTTTAAAAAGTGTGGGTGAACAGAAGGACTTCTGTTCCACATAAATGGCAACATTCATGCCTTTAAGTCCTTCAGACACACTAGAAACATCCAAGGATATATGGGTAATTAAAATTTGGACCACTGAGTGAAGTGTTAAGTAATACCCTAAGTACATGAAAGACCAATTCTTCCATATGAACCAACAAAAATACGTGCCTGAAATCAGAGGTTAGGAGGGAGGTAGCTTGAGAATGGTATATACCACTGACCTAGAACTGTGTCCTAGTAAAGCTGTCTCCATAACTACTCACCTGATATCTGCTTTGCTTAGCTTTAGAAGTCAAGCTACAACTTCACCAGAACTTCAACTGATGATTGTCTGAAAGTGCTTCAATGATACTTTAGTCCATTTTACATATCTTACATGGTTTATTTTGGGTTTCTGTTTTGTTCTGAAAGTATTGAATTCCAATTTAATAGCACAGTTCAACTTTCTAAAATAAATCAGAAATGCCTAAGCCATTCGGAAGCAGTTGTTTATGCCAGCCTGTGAAAAAACACCTTATGGATAATTTTTGTTGTTATGAAACATTTACTTTGTGCAGTCTCTTTGAAGCAGTAATGTAACTTAGTAGGTTTCAGACATCACTTTATTACCATCAAAGGACTAACAGTAGTTCTATAGTGATATTTTGAAGGAAATATATCTCTTTGGATATGTTTAGAAGGGGTCTCAAGCACAAAATTCAAATTCTTATTGGTTGAGTAGGTGGAGAAATAACAGTTAAGGTATGATAATTGACAGTCAAGATAGTAAAGGCCTGAATATTTTTCTAGGGGTTATTTATGTATTCAAATTCTATACTGCCCAATAACTGAAGCTCTCTGGGCAAATAAGAATAAAAGATATATCATATTAAAACTTCATTAAAAGTTGATGTTAATACAAAATTTAAAACCAAATTTTAAAGATTTACACAGAGAGAGAGAGAGAGAGAGAGAGAGAGAGAGAGAGAGAGAGAGAGAGAAAGAGGCGGGCATGGATCAGGAACAGGAACTGATGTGGTCCTAAGATCTGGCCAGAAGGTGGTTATACAAGCAGGCAGTGTTTTTTTCATTTATAAACAAACAAACAAACAAACAAACTGTACAAGGAGTCATAAATCCAAGAAAAGCAGCTTTGGTGCCAGAAGAAGACTGCCAAGCACTGGAGCTGATTGTGAAGGAATCTGGCTGAGGTGGATATTTAAGAAATTTGACCTGAGGTAAAAGAAGTTATTGTCGCCTTGAAACAGCAACAGCATGTCTTGAGTGACTAAGAATGGTCTCTAAGCAGTGTTTTGAAAATCCCAAAGTGAAACTCAACATTATATTGGCAGAGAGTACTTTAGGTCCTAAAATATAAGTATATGCCATATATAAGAAATCCCAGAGTTGGGACTGTCCAGTGAAGGGGCCGTTTCTCATAAGTGGTGGCAGTGTTGGTGTGAGGAAATCCTCCAAACAGCCTTTTCTTATAAATAACATTTCATTTCATTTTCATTTAAAGTCTTTTTTCCTAAAAGAAATGAAATCCTGCTTACCAAGGACACAATCAGCAATCAAAATGTAAATACAGATTTGGAACAATTAAGAGAAGCAAATCATGTGACTCAGAGCTGTTAATATTTCATGAAAACATATTGAGTTGAAGCATACAGCTAGTTCATTCCTATTTCTCTATATCCTTGATTGCTTCTTAGCATTTTCATACATGATTGCCTTTATGTTAATGTAGAATAGACAGGAACCAAGTGAAAACTAGCAACATACCAGGAGATTCTCTGGCTTGATGTCTCTGTGTACAATGCTTAGACCATGGAGGTATTTCAGTGCACTAGCTAGATTGTAGACCATTGCACTCCCATCACGCTCTGTGTATTTTGTTGAGGATGTGATTGCATCGAAAAGGTCTCCACCCTGTAAAGGGGTTGCGGGTGAGAAACAATGTCTAAACAAAACTAGAACCATCAATTTCTTTATCTGTTAAAAGAAACTCAGAAGAGAAGCTTTAGGGCCTTTCTAATTTTTTAAAAATCAACATAAAACATTAGTTTAAGCCATTCTTACATAAAATTAGTAGTTCCTTAGAACCAAAGTTTATAGAAATATTTTCATTCTAGAATGGTATAACCAACAAATAAAAACAATTGGTGCAATTCAGGAAAGGTTAAGCATGCTAAAGCCTCAGGGAAATAAATGGGACTAGAATACTTATCTGTGTGCTTAATTCTATTCACACTTGCTTAAAAACATGTTATATTCAACATTCTTCTCAGTATGGAAGGGCCAGGCTGCTTTCCCATCTTTAATGGAACTTAAGTGCATCTAAATTTCTCTGGCTTGAACAAGGTCTCAACATGCTAGATAAAAAACCTCCTATGCTTATTGTGAATGTGAGAAATCCCTGTGCTGTGTTGATTAAAAGAGATAAGAAGGAAAAAAGCTTTTTTGGTTAGAATATACAAAAGTCTCAAAGAAAGACAGCATGGTGTAGTGGTTAGAGTTTTCAACTGGGCCTCAAGAGATCTGGGTTTTAGTCCCCAATTGACCATGAAGCTCACCAGTGACTTTAGCCCAGGGTTCCTTCCAAAAACAAAAAAGGTGGTGTAATGATAACAAACATTGGCTATCAAATTAATAACAATAACAAATAACGAATCCTAGCAGACTTCCTGTATGTGGTGTTACATGTGCTGTGTGGAATAGAGCTCACCCATGATCTCACTGTTATATCAAGAGATGGATATCTGAAACAAACGTATCTGGATTTTAAAGATATCACGGAAAGCTTCCAACTGCAACTTGATCCCATATGGGAAAACTAGGGAGGGCATAATAAAGTATCAGATTAACCTGCATCCTGAACATAAAAATGTATATAGCAAGGATGAGGAACTTGCCACTGTCCAGATGTTGGAAAACATCTCCCAACATCACAAATCATTGGCCACACTGACAAGGGCTGACGAGTAATGAAATTTCAACAGTAGACATAAGTTATCCACCCTTGTAGGGGTACCCAACTCTGTCCCAGTGCTGATAATATTGCACTAGCAGAAACCAATACCTGTGGATGTAACTAGAACTTGCAATAACAACAGCAGAAAGCAGATATTTTCTGCCAAAATTGAGTGGCGAATTGCCACTTTCTCCATTACTCTAACAAGCACTATGTACAATGTACAAGCACTAGTTTGTGCTGGCACAATGTTATTAGAGCTAGGACGTAACTGGATATTATCCTTGATGTATAAGATTGTAGACTGAAGTTAAATCTGTGGCAACTCTGAACTACTATAATTAAGAATATGACCCTTGCTACAGAAGAACAAAGGCCTATCTCACCCACCTTTCTGTCCCCATAGTGGCCAACCAGAAGCCAATGGGAAATCCAGAAACATAAGAGCATTTTATTTATTTATTTATAACATTTCTGTGCTGCACCCATCGCCAAAGCCTCGGGGCAGCTCACAAGGAAATGATAAGTTGCTGGGGAACAAGCATCCTTCCTTGTTCCCCAGCAACTGGTATTCAAAGGCATACTGTCTTTGATACTGAAGGCAAAACATAGCCATCATGAGTATTAACCACTGATAGTGTTATCATTCATTTCTAGTCCCCTTTTAAATTTCCCCAAGTTGATGTCATCACTACATTGTGTGGAAGCAAATTTCAGATTTAGGGGAAAAAAACTATAGCAGTGGTAAGTATGAACAAACATACATGGTGCACATTAAAAATCATTTTGTTTGAAAGGACTGGTTACTTCTGTAGAATGTTAAAACAACTTTAGAAGCACATAACAATGCAAAACATGTTTGAAACAAGAGGGATTACTTAACAATCTGTTCTCCTTATAGAAAAAAGAAATTGAGATTTCATTTCAATTCAGTTTCTCCTTATAGAAATTGAGTGAAAGGGGTCGGGATTTGTGAGCTGATGATGTAACTGTGATTAAGTTACATGGCAACTTAACTTTGAAGCGCAGCTTAGAAACATTGCAGCAGCATGGATAAAACAATTGTTTTATGCATCTTGCACAATGAGTATTACCATAAAGCCAAGTTAGATATTACATATTTGGTCAGAGTTTTACTCTTGTTACAGATTCCTACATTGGACAACTTCAGTAACCTAATATATAGTTGCAGTACATATACAATAAAGAAGTATGCAATCTCTCAGAGGAAATTTTGCATTTGTGTACTGCACAATCAATAAGGAGCAGAAGTGCATTCATGGTGCGCATAGATAATTAGGGGGAATTCCATGAGCAGGAATTTCAAAGGGGCTTAGAAACTCTTATGTGGTGAGAAGTACCAAGCTCTGTAAAGGCATGTGCAGGCATTTCATGTACATCTACTATTCCATATAGGTCCAAGGTCCAGAAACCTTGTATTATTTGATACTCATTGAGGGTATACATCCTCTCACCTTAACAAGCTCCATCACCAAATAGAGCTCCATTGTAGTGTCCATCTCTTCAATTAGCATGATGATATTGGGGTGCTTCACTCGGCGCAGTATTGAGACTTCATTTTCAATCAAGTGCTCCTGTGTTGGGAAAGGAAAGAGGAAGGGTAGGATAGAAGGAAAAATCCAAACAAATCCTTTAACAAGTCTGATACATAACATTCCAGGTGAGAAGTCTCCTTCCTATAACATTTCCTAATAACATTTCAGGTGAGAAGTGGCTCCTCAACACTTTCTTTAACAGTGTGGTTGTCAATAAAATCTTGTGAAATTACACAGGTATAAGCTTCATGATATAAAAATCCCAAATAAATAAATACTTTGCCAAGCAGGTCCTCCAAATTACCATGAACTAAAATGAATGAAAACTGAACAGCATGTCATTTTATTACTCAGGGAAATATTTGGATGTTTTCAGTTTCAAGAAACTAACTAGATGTAGACTGATAGCTGTAAATTTCATTTGGACATTAACAACAGTTCTTCAAAACATTTCTGAAGGCATCATAAAACCTTATCAAAAGCCTGATCTTCACGGCAGTACAAATGTTCTATCATTGTGCACTTCATGCATTTGTGAGGAAAACTGCGGGGAGTACAAGTGAGCAATTTGTAACTGATGAACATGAGCAGTGCCTGAAAAATTCAGTGCTATTTGTCCTACATCATATTAATTATCAATCAATCAGCTTGGAAAGTTGATTTGCATCCAGATCTGTGTAGCTCATTAATTTTACCCTACAGATTTAGTTTCTAAAAACCAACATGCTAAGCGTGCATCTCCTCATGTGAACATGTGTCACATCAGACATTGCTTAAACAAGTCGCACCTTTGTAACCCAATTTCAAGAGCATCAATAGTCTTTCTGGAACAAACATAAGTCTGCTCCAAACAAACGTGTGCTGGGGAAAAGAAAAACAAAGTGTAAATGAGTTTTAACAACATGGTTGAAACTTTAAAAAGAGGTCACAGGACTTAAAGAAAAAACTAAAACCACCACAGTTGGGATGAGATATAAAATGAAATCTTTCGTGCTGCTACAAACAGTGTATCATTTGAACAATTATGACTGACAAAGGTGTTGAACTTCTCTCAGCTTGGGGTCTAAATTCCATTATGCAGAGGTTCTGCACCCCCTTTTAAGACATCACAACATCAAAACAATTTGCACTATTATGAATCGCTGTATTCATCTTTCATTTGGGAAGAAACTCTCACAAATGAGTCAGAAGTTTGATACTTTGTTGTATGACTGAAGTTATTTTTTTTTTCTCATTCACACTTGTGTTCCTTCATAAGAGGTTACAATGCATGAAAAAGGGGAGCAGGGCTTTCCAAGCACAGGTATACAATTTCTTGATGTATTTGTGCATGTTACTACTACATGTGCGAAAATCTTTTCAAAGTACTTGAGAAGCATCTTTACTCACTGTCAACTTCCTCCTCCTGATGGCAAAGAAACTTACTTTGGGTCAGGCAAAGAGAGAGGTGGTACCTGCAAGCATTCCTTGCATCCTTGTTTAGCTAGGAGAGCCACCCCAACCCTGATGGGGAACAAATGATCCTGTGTAGGGCAATTCTTATAGGAGTTTCTCTGTGTTATCCTGGTGCCACCTCCCATTGCCTCCTGCCAGACAAAATGCTAAAGAGCCATAGGGCAGAAGGAGACAGTTGCAGGAGAGACAACTTTCTAGATCTAGGCCAGGGGTCCTCAAACTTTTTCAATAGGGGGCCAGTTGAAAGGTGGCGATGACCCACGCAGGCCAGTTAGGCGGGGGTGCCTGGGCGCATGGGCCAGTAAGGCAGTGTCAGGCACATGCGAGGCAGCGTCGGGCACGCATGGCAGTGGCTCACTCGCTCAGAGATCTCCCAGTGTCCAAAACCATCTCCAGGCGAGCAAGCCACCACCTCCCTGCCCAAGCTGTGAGGTGGGCTGCGAGAGCACGCGCATGGGGGAGGCGGGCGGTGGCAGCGGCTTGCTCACTTTGAGATCTCCCATCGAGTCCAAAAACCGTCTCCGAGTGAGCAAGCCACTGCCTCCCCACCTGTGCTGCGTGCACACATGTGGGCCGTGGCCAGATAAATGGGCATGACGGGCTGGGTCCATCCTGTGGGCTGTAGTTTGAGGTGCCATGATCTAGGCAAATGCAATCTTGCTTGCTCTGCTTAGAGAAAGATGCAGGTCCTGCTCTTAAGCATTCGTTCAAGTTAATTCTAATCTGTAAGCATTCTTAACAAATCCTTAAGATACCCTTAATAATAGGGGCATGCCACTTTTGCTTAGATCTAGATGTAGTTTTTTTTTTAACACAAACACATAGGTGCACAGTATGAGAATAAAATTAGATACTCATGGATCTTTGGTTTGCACTATAAAAATGCAAACCTTCTGGCAAGTGATCAGGTGGTAGTATACAAGAAAATAATACAGTTAAGGGTGGTTTGATCATGGATCTACTCATATATGTCAAATATTAGTTAACTTTACTCAGTCACCGGAACCCAAAGTTCTAAAATCAGGATATAGTAAACTGACCTTAAATTCTAGACACATCGGCAGTCCTACACCTAGAACAGTGATTCAGCTACTGTTATCTTTTTAACTATTCAAGCAAACCTCTATTTTATTTGATGACCAGCATTTTTAAAAAGTAAATGGTTATAAGATGATCTTATAACAATCACCAATAGATTAAAATAGTGAAGGAATTCAATATAGCTGAGTTTTCCCCTTCAAAACAATGGTTGAAGTTGAGAAAGAGGATGAGATTAGAACTTTAAGGAAGGAGAGGAGTATCTGAAGGAATTTGAAAATATACCAGCCCTGGAAAAGACAAAGTACAGAGGTATACAATAGGAATTTTATGCTTTGGCTAGGCAAACTACTGAGAGAATAGACAACTTCTGAGTGAAGTTCATAAAGTTTCTCTTTTAAAGATCATTTATAAAAGTTCCTTAAGAGAAAAATAGGATAAAATGTTTTAAAGATTAAAAATTAATACATTATCTCTCTTACTGTTAAAAGAATCTAGTGGGTGTTTATACCCACACCACTTCCCTTTCCCCTTGTTAATTGTATTCCACAAGCTGTTGGTCACAAAGATTCATTGTACAAGTGAGACGCTCTACTTATACAATGGAGATTTAGAGCTTCCTACAAGAAACTTTGAATCTTTAACAATAGTTTTGTCGATGTGCCTCCCTCCAGAAATGGGCATTTCCACTCATGTTGGATTCACCTTTCAAATGCTAAATCACTATTACACAGGCAGTGGGAACCCCTTGCACAGTGGAAATGGCAGGGGAGAAATGGCAGGGGTATGAGTGTCTCACTGGCTATGGGTGGTGTCTTTTTACCTGACTAGTTACTTTAAACCCGAGATATAATTCTGCTGAAAGAGACACATAACAAAGCAATATGCACATTTGTGAGTTCATAAAAACAAGTGTTAGCATTACTTAAAACTATGTTTCTAATTCTCTAAATTACATGGAAAACAGAATTTAACTGCAATAGACCTTACAGACTGCCAGAAGTTATTTT